TATATATATTCATAAAAATTTGTAATTTTGTTTTCATTTTTAACTATACGTAACTAATATAGCCGTTTTAATTTTTAAAATTTTTTTTAAGCAGCCTTATACTATATTTTTCTAACTAAAGCTGTTTGTATTGTTGGGCATTAAGAAAAATTATATTTAAGGATTAAAATTTTACTTTTATCGAATCATAATACATTATTTTACATTTTATCACCGGAATAATTGAAAGGATAATTTTTTTTAAATTGTTCAAAAATGTTTACTTGTACAGCAGGGACATGAACAGTTTTTTTTAAATGCAATTTATTTGCTAAAACCTACAATTTTAATGTTTTGGTGACTGACTAATTCACAAAAGGATTATACTATCAGTTAATTAGACAACAGTCTAAATTTTCAACTCTAAATTTTAATACCTCATCTTAAATTAACTGGAAATTTAAAGCAGAAACTTGTTACAGATGAGATATAAAGTACAGAGTCAAACACAATTTTAGATTTTTTCTAATATTAATTTAATTTGTTGCAAGCAACGATTATATAATTTTATCAATAAATGTATTTTGTCATAGCCTACTTTGCTAGTATCCATTTTAAAATATCCTATAGAATTAGAAATATTTCGCTAAAATTTTTTAACAAATTACAATTAAGATGATGATTTACGTAACATTTTGTTAAAATTTATATTTTTGAATTTAGTAAATATTAAATCAATTTATTAAAAGAAAACAACAAGAGTTGCGTTTATACACGTATATAGACTTTAACAAATGAAGTTACATTTAGTTTTTAAACGACTTACGATTTCCTAATAATCTTTTCTATTATGATTGCGAAACTATTTTCGTCTTGTCATAGTAATGCAACAATTTCAAAACTGTAAAATTTTGTTATAAAGATATACTTAAAAAGTATTTAATAAAAATAAAAATATTTACACTTTGTCCACTTTGTCACATGTGACCAAATACCAAATTGTAATCCAGAACTGTACATTTTCGAACGCATGAAAGTATTGAACTCGTACAGTTTGAAAAAGTGCAATATTCGATGCTTAATGTTAACGAGAGAAAAGAAAACTGAAGAAACTGTTTAAACTGCATAGTTCAGTTACTTTTTTACCAAACTTTTTACCAACTCTTAATCCTCTCCCCCTCAACCAGTTCTACGGAGGTAAACAAAGTCCTCGTGGTCATTTTTCTCCGTTGTTAAAAATATTATTCTCGCAAAAATATGTATTTCTTGAAAATAATGCGTAGTATGTGTTTCTTGTGAACTTTTCATGCTTCTTTTTAAAAATACTGTATAAATTTTATTGAAATTAATCCTTAATCTTTCCAGCCACTTAATCTTTCTTTTGTTTTATCAGGTTTTGATACTGAATTAGTAGTTGAAATTAAGATGCATTCTTTCTCAATACTTTTATATTTTGAAAACGTTAACTTTGAAAAGTATTTATAAAGAAGAACATGTGAGGAATTTTAGTATTTAAATATTGAATTAAAGTAATCAATATACATTGATAAGTTTAATACCTTTCAACTATTTACTGTCAAATTCATTAATAACGAACGGAAAGACTGAAATATTTGCTTGTTGCAACTGAATGCTCGTTAAAAAAAAGAATTATTTACTTACGTATTATCTCCTCAACTATTTTCGCCAACAACGTACCAGAGTCATTTGGTATTATTAAAATTTATTTTAATATAATAATTGATTATAAAAAAATTTACAAAATCCAAATATAACTTATTGCAAAAAATGAGAAATTAACATAAATTAGTTAAATTGGAAAAAATATTGCAATATATTATCAAATATTGATGTTTTTTGCTATATTAAAATTTGTACTTATCAATTATATAGAGCAATGTGCATGTTGAATATAGTTCTGAAAAGTCTGCAGTTGCCAACATGTGTTTCCAATAATTTGCAACTATCTTAAATTCAATTTAAGTACTGTAAAGTTAAGTGTCTAGATAAAAATTTTATTCTTTTCTTCTATTTAGAGTTTGTATTAATGCCTAAAGCCCATTGAAGGGAGTTACAAAACTTCACTTTAGAATGTCTTCAAAAAGAAATGAGCTTATAACGTTTACTAAAGATTTCTTTGCTGGTGGTGTATCAGCTGTTGTTTCTAAAACAGTTGTGGCACCTATTGAGCGGGTAAAATTAATTCTTCAAGTGCAATATGCTTCTCAACAAATCACCACAAATAATCAGTACAAAGGTATGACTTTTTTGTAGCTTGTGATCATATAATATTGTGCTTATATGGAACTACTTACTTTTTATTGTTATCTACTCTTAAAAGCAGGGATCGAAAAACCGCCTGTCCTCGGCGGTCAAAATTTCTCTGCTGACAACGAATCCGGCGTCCGCGTGGGAGGACCATTTTCCCGTTAATGTTCATGATACATATTTAATTTTTGTTACCTTAAAGAGTCTAGCGCCTCACTTCTAAAATGACCCTCTAATCTGGAAATACTGCGCATGGTGGAATTGATGTTTTCTCTGTCTGGGAGTACTGCAGCGGTTGAAAGCGGCTTTTCAACAATGAACTTACTAAAAAAAGTTACGTACTGGTCTTAAACAAGAAGCATTAAATACAATTATGAACATCTACCTAAATGGAAAACCCCTTTCAGATTTCTGTGCAGAAACCTCTGTAAATCATTGACTTGATTGTGGAACTGGCAAACGTCATATCTGATTTATTTAAAAAACGCTGTACCCTCGGATAAATTGACATTCCAGATAGCTTGACCTTTGTCATTTAAATTATTTCATAAAAGAAATACTAGGTTACCATTAGTAACCCAGTATTTGTTTTATTACTGTATAATGTAATCCTAGTAACTACTAATTCTTTGTGCAATTTATATAAATGTTTGTAATAAATAAAAGAAAATTATATTTTTATTTATTTAGAAGCTTTGGGTTAGTTTCAATGGAGGACGGGTACATTGTTGGACAAGCCGTCCTCAGGGAAGGGTAAAATTTCTGAGATTTTTCAAGCCCTGCTTAAAAAAATAAGTTCTTTCAGGATTGAACTATAAGTCGTTGATAAAACTTAGAGATGCTGTTTTCCTGAAAGTTTGAAATTGTATAAATGTGAGAAAATGAATGAAAGTGGGGAAAACAATGTTTTAAAAGATATTGAATTTCAGAATTTACAATGCAGGACAAAATTATTAGGAAAACTTCAGTTAAAAAGTAATCCCCATCCTAAAAAGTAAAAAAAAGAAAAATACAGTACAGAACCCGTTATCCGGAAATCAGAAAACCAAAAAACCGGAACGAAATTCAATAAATTTTTCCACCATTTTTTTAAAAAAAAATTTTTTTTCCTCATAAGATTTTAGGATTTTTCTTTCTTTTTTGAAAGATGTTTACCTTACCATCATTTTGGAAATAATCATTAGCGTATTACTCCATCGTTTTTTCTTCTTTTTAAGATTATTTCGAGAAAATTTATTTTTTTTTAGTTGGGTTTAACAATAAAAAAAACGGCTTTTTGTAGTGATTCAGAAAACCGAAAAAAACCAGTTATCCGGAATAGCGATGGTCCCGATCGTTCCGGATAATCGGTTCCCTACTGTATATAAAACTTGTAGTATTAATTGATGCTTCAAATGTTTTTCGTTTTAATAAAGCCAGATGGCGCTCTATATGCTTTCAATTGTTTATACCTTGTTTATAAATATTTCTTCATCCTTGGGTTCCACATTACTGCAGATGTCAGCAGAGTTGCAGATTGAATTTCTTCTGATACAGGCTAGTGTTATAGTGTTTCCTGCTTAAGCAATAACGATTTTGCCTGAATTCAACACAAAAATAAACTTGTTGAATGTTACATTACTGACTGGTAGACCTGAAACCAGCCACTTTTTCCCACTGGTTTTTACATTACCAGCCTCTTTTTACATCAACCAGATTTTTTTTAAAAATCTGGTTAACTTAAATGTACATCAATACATAGAATCTCTGGAAAACATAAATTTTTTTTTAGGATATCCAATGTCTCTATTCAAAATTTTGATCCTACAGAATCCATCAATTTATGAGATGATGAATCATGTGGGAGGAGAGTTCTTAAATAATTCATATATTTCAAAGTTGTAATGAATACATTCCTGAAAAAAACTTCTTTAGCCATTTGCCATTGATGATGGTGATAAATTAAAACAGTAAATTTATTTTTCTTCTCCAAATATTTTTGAATAACATGAAAAAAATATAGTTATAAAATATTTCTAAATTTTGTTACATAATTATATTATTTTTATTGTTGAACTAACTTATTATGGCCATAAATTATTACTAATATGAATTTTTTCTAAAAAAATTTTTTACTAAATTCAAGCAAAAAAAATTTGAAAATTATCTTTGTTATTCAATGAAAGAGGCATTGATAGAAAAGACATTTCAGTCACCGACTCTGCACTTCACTAGAAAAAAGTTACTACTTAGTTATTTGAGTCTACCAATCACTACATACTGATTGAAAATTTAAATTTTCAGTTCTACTAACTAATACTAACAATTATTCCTGAGCAATTAAAATCAGTGCCTCTGAGCATTAATTCTGCATCTGAGCAATAAAAATCAGAACTGGTTTATTATGCAGTAGAAAGATTAAAATGAAAATTTTCCAAAATTAAAGAAATCTTAAAAATACGGAGAAAAAAGGCAGTTTAACAAAGTTCTGGAAATACTCAGTGAGGAAGAAAGCACAAGACTGTCTTAATGGCACGCAAAGCACCTTGGCACAAAAACGTCTTTCATTGGAACGCAGAAAATATATATTGGTTGCCTTTTTAAGTTTTCTTGGTGATAAACTATTCAAATTATTGGTGTTTACATGATCAGGGCTGATTGTACTCCGAAAAAAATCCTGATTTCCGGATTTTTCGCTAACAGTGATCCGGAAGTTTCCGGAGATCGAAAGTCCAGACGTTTCAAAAAATCATTGATCACTTAAGTTTCCGGAAATAAAATTTTTAAAGGTGGAATTTAAAAACACAGTTTATTTAATTTGTTTGTAAGGGAGAGCCACAGAGATACTTTATAAGCTTATATTCATGATTAATATTCATTTTTTATCACTAAATAGTTGTTATAATCATAAACTCAAAAAAAAGACATATTTGTAAATTTTAATTACTTCTCCAGGTCATCATAGGTATGTGTAAATGGTATAGGTATGTGTAAAATTTTAAATATATTTTTAGTAAACTAAGAAATATTGAGAAAAAGGAAAAAAAACCTTGTTTAAATTTTTTTCTAATTTTTCAATTTAAACTGTTTTTTTTTTTTTTTTTTTTTTTTTTCAAATTCAGGAAATTTTCCGGAATTTTGACTTGGGCTCACAATCACCCCTGCATGATAATCAATCACTATTTATAGAAAAAAAAGTTACACTTTATACGATAGAATATATGTATTTATTATAAAAAATATATAAGGTAATGTTTAATCTTAGCTTTTTTTTTTTTGTACAATTTATAAAACGTAAAATTCTCAAGGCCCCCCTGAGTGCCTGGGTAGCCCGGGTGTGCCCATGCATGAAGAGAGTACTGAGAAAGCATTATGTTAAATCCAAAGCCAGGTAATTTTAAGCAAAGAAGTAAAACCCTTCAAATCGAAACTTGAAATTCAACTTTGCTGCATTTTGCGAGATATTCTCAATTTCAGGCTTCATTTTCNGGACAAAATTATTAGGAAAACTTCAGTTAAAAAGTAATCCCCAGCCTAAAAAGTAAAAAAAAGAAAAATATATAAAACTTGTAGTATTAATTGATGCTTCAAATGTTTTTCGTTTTAATAAAGCCAGATGGCGCTCTATATGCTTTCAATTGTTTATACCTTGTTTATAAATATTTCTTCATCCTTGGGTTCCACATTACTGCAGATGTCAGCAGAGTTGCAGATTGAATTTCTTCTGATACAGGCTAGTGTTATAGTGTTTCCTGCTTAAGCAATAACGATTTTGCCTGAATTCAACACAAAAATAAACTTGTTGAATGTTACATTACTGACTGGTAGACCTGAAACCAGCCACTTTTTCCCACTGGTTTTTACATTACCAGCCTCTTTTTACATCAACCAGATTTTTTTTTAAAAAACTGGTTAATTTAAATGTACATCAATACATAGAATCTCTGGAAAACATAAAATTTTTTTTTAGGATATCCAATGTCTCGATTCAAAATTTTGATCCTACAGAATCCATCAATTTATGAGATGATGAATCATGTGGGAGGAGAGTTCTTAAATAATTCACATATTTCAAAGTTGTAATGAATACATTCCTGAAAAAAACTTCTTTAGCCATTTGCCATTGATGATGGTGATAAATTAAAACAGTAAATTTATTTTGCTTCTCCAAATATTTTTGAATAACGTGAAAAAAATATAGTTTTAAAATATTTCTAAATTTTGTTACATAATTATATTATTTTTATTGTTGAACTAGCTTTTTATGGCCATAGATTATTACTAATATGAATTTTTTCTAAAAAAATTTTTTTACTAAATTCAAGCAAAAAAATATTTGAAAATTATCTTTGTTATTCAATGAAAAAGACATTGATAGAAAAGACATTTCAGTCACCGACTGTGCACTTCACTGGAGAAAAGTTACTACTTAATTATTTGAATCTACCTGCCACTACCTACTGTTGCTGTGGCATTTATGAAACTTTCATTATTGGATTAACATAGTTTTCTGCTTGCTAATGAAGACAATGCCAAAAGTCTATGGAAAAAAATTAAGTTAACATTTACAGGGAAAATAGAGGATAGAAAAAACAAGGTCAACAGTGAAATTAAATATATTGTAATGAACAAGTCAGAAAATGTGAGTATATAGCAAGAGCTGGTGGGGTTTCTAAATAATGTGCTAAAAATTTTTGAAAGAGAACTGATTTGTTATGCAGTTGGAAGGTCAAAAGGAAAATTTTCCAAAATTAGAGAAGTCCTAAAAAACCAGAGAAAAAAGGCAGTTTGACAAAGTTCTGAAAATACTCAGTGAGGAAGAAAGCACAAGGCTGTCTTAATAGCACGCAAAGCACTCGGCACAAACATTTCTTAGACCCCTATTACAAGCCATAATGATAAAAAATGAACTAAGAAACTTCACATACATAAAGTAAATTATTTTTAAGATATGCAATAATTTTAATAAATTTCAACACATTTTGATTACCCCAAAAACTTTTTTAAAAAAAAAAGCATTTTTAAACTATGCATAATTTAAAAAAAAAAAAAAACTAAATAGTTACTAAAACATATTTCAATGCCCAAGTTCCTAAAATTTTCATTGGAACGCAGAAAATATATATAGGTTGCCTTTTTAAGTTTTCTTGGTGATAAGCTATTCAAATTATTGGTGTTTACATGATAATCAATCACTATTTGTAGGGGAAAAAAATCGCACTTTATACAATAGAATATATGTATTTATTTTAAAAAATATGTAAGGTAATGTTTAATCTTAGCTTTTTTTTGTACAATTTATAAAAAGTAAAATTCTCAAGGCCCCCCTGGGTAGCCCGGGTGTGCCCATGCATGAAGAGGGTACTGAGAAGGCATTATGTTAAATCCAAAGCCAGGTAATTTTACGCAAAGAAGTAAAACCCTTCAAATCGAAACTTGAAATACAACTTTGCTGCATTTTGCGAGATATTCTCAATTTCAGGCTTTATTTTCTACCCTCTGAAATCAAACCAAAAAATCTCTTGATCTTTTTATGATGGATAAAATAATCAGGAAAAACGTTCTTTGTCAGAAACTTGTTATTTTATCATGATCGTGTAAAGTCTTTGAAAATTATTTTGCATTTTTTTAATGCATATAGTGCTTAAAAAGTACTGAAAATTTGCTTATTTTTGTTGAAAAATTTGGCTATGCACCCTGCGTAAAGATGGTTTCTTTATTTTATAGTAGCATCTATGTTTAAAAAATCACCAAATTTTAGGTTATATTTTTCTTTCAAAATAACAGGCACTCATAATACCATGCTTATTTATTTAATTTTCATCATTTTTGTTCTTTTCAGGTATGGTTGATGCTTTTGTCAGGATTCCCAAAGAACAAGGTTTCCTCAGTTTTTGGAGAGGAAACTTAGTCAACTGTATCAGGTATTTTCCAACACAAGCTCTAAACTTTGCTTTTAAAGATAAATATAGAGATATTTTTCTTAAGGGCGTCAATAAAAAAACTCAGTTTTGGAGATATTTCATGGGCAACCTTGGTGCTGGTGGTGCAGCTGGAGCTTCATCTCTAATATTTGTGTATCCATTAGACTTTGCCAGAACTCGCATGTCTGTTGATGTAGGCAAAGCTGCAGCTGATCGGGATTTTAAAGGTTTGAATGACTGCATCGTAAAGATCTTCAAATCCGATGGTTTGATCGGCCTTTACAGAGGGTTTAATGTGTCCATTCAATTTGTTATTATATACAGGGCTTCCTATTTTGGATTATTTGATACAGCTAAAGAAATGTTGTCAACGACAGGAAAACCATCCTTTTTGCTTTCCTTCACCATTGCTACGATTGTTGCCACTTTTTCTGGTATAATTTGTTACCCTTTTGATACCGTGAGAAGGCGTATGATGATGCAAAGTGGCCGCAATAAGGCTGATTTTATGTATGCCGGTACAATAGATTGTTGGAATAAGATAGTTAAGCAAGAGGGTATTGCTGGTCTTTTTAAAGGTGCTTACTCAAATGTTATTAGGGGTTTTGGTGCTGCTTTAGTACTTGTTTTGTATGATGAGATAAGGAAAAAGAAACCTTTGTATGCTTAACTCTAGGTGTACCTTCATTGTTACTATTTGTGCTACTGTTTTTTTTTTTTTCTCACATTTGATTATTTTATGGTTATAATTTCATTTTGTATTTTCTTGTATTTCATCTTAATTTGTAAGTAGTAAAGTGCAAATTATATAGATATATATTTTGATAAAATTTATTATTATAATCTTTCAATACCTGTATTATAGTATCAGTAATTGTGAAAAGAAGTTTACAAAAAATAGTGTTTTATATTTAACAAAACTAGTGTTCTATATCTACATATTTTACAAAAATAGTTAAGCATTTCTGATCTCTTTTAAAATTAAATGCTGCAAACTTAATTAAATTTGAAATATATTTATTTTCTGTCAAATTTATTGGAGGTATTTGGTTAATTTTAAAATTTGATTATTAGTGGAAAATGTTTAAATCATTCTTATATTGTACTTTTGAAGAATTAATATATAATAATTGCTTTTTTATTTTATTATTGTTATTTTTTTACTATACGGGTACAATTGAATGTTGGAATAATATAGTTATTGTTGTTGGTGTCCTTAAAGGTGCTTATTCAAATGTTATTAGGGTTTTGGTTCTACTTTTGTACTAGTTTTGTTCGATGAAATAAGGTAAGAGTAACCTTGTATACTTAAGAGATTTTTTCATGTTAGTATTTTTGTAACTTTTTCTTTTACTAATTCAGATCATTTATACCTAGAGTTTCATTTCGTTTTTCTGTATTTCATCTTCATTTCAAAATAATTAAATTCCTATTATAAGATATTCATGCTTATTCTAACAGAATTTCGTTTCTTTTGATGTAATCTGATAAGTAAACACTGTTTTTGACGAATCAAAATATCTTTCAATATCTATATTATAGCATAAATGTTATAAAAAAATATATTTTACAAAAATTAGAGATTCATTTTAGTGATCTCTCTCAAAATTTAATAGGGTGTACTTAATTACATTTGAAATATTCATATTTACTATCAGGGGGTTGTCCCGGGTATATTTACTACCGTTTAGCGTTACCTTCACAAATTCAAATTTAGGAAAAACGGTAGTTTCACTAAATACTTTTAATAAAGCAAGTTCTCATGCAAACCCTGTACTCGTTGCAATCTAGGGAAAAGAGGAGCTTTTTTGGCCAGATGTCTTTTACGAAAAGGTAGCACATGTTTGGTCTGATACTGCGATATGGTAAACCTAACCGGTCACTATTCGAACATTATCTTAAACACTATTTTAAATTTATTCTAACAGACCTTTATTTTTACATTTTTTTTTTCTCTGTGAAACTTTTTTCTGTATGACCTAGTCGAAAATGTTCTCATAATAAAAAAAACTTTTAGTGCTAGTATTGTTAAATGCATGTTTTTATAAAATTCAAGTTGAAATTTAACTATAGTCAATGATTTTTATGGAATTTTAAAATTGGATGCAATTTTAAGCCTACAGTTTTACAATAGCAAAATTATCTTTTTTATATATGGAAAAAATATACAGAAATTTACCTGTCATAAATCATTTTTATTTAAAGTGAAAATTTTTGAAAATATTTTCCTACTTGACAATAGTTTTGTGTTGAGTTTTTAATATAATTTTTACAATTTACGTCTAAATTTTCACAAAATAGGTACCTCTCGAAAAAAACCAGACAGACTCCTGACTATTCAATTTGTGTGAAGTTCTCATTGATTTTAAAATTTGTACTATTTGTGGAAGCTGTAAAAAAATAGCCAAATTATTATTGATGCTGTGAGGGGCTGCTTAATTAATTGTTGTAATAAGTATATAACATACTAATATAGGCTCTGTAATATTATGTTTAATGGTGAAAACCCATCGAGTAAATTTTTTCAGATATGAAATTTTCCATTCAGAATGTTTTATTTTTTCAAATATTTAAAGTTAACATCAGTGGTGTTTGCTAGCTTATAGCTCTAGTTCATGTAAAAAGCCTCGAGCAACAGCCATGTGTAAAATATTGAATCAGTTAATCTTCATTTCGATGTGATGACCTTCTAAAAACGTGTTTCGTTTTTTTTTCTGGTAATGTAAAATCACATGAAGGGAAGCAAATAATAATAACCAAGCTTTATTAACTGTGTTGTATATAAATTTCAAATTTATGTATAATTTCTTAAAGTACCGATTTATTGTTTTTTTTCCTTCCATTATGGAGAATNAATTTTTTTTTTCTTCTTCCTGTTGTTGAAAGTTCCTCATGCAACGAAACATTATCAAAATGCAAGATAATTTTCAAACACTTTACATGATCATGATAAAATAGCTTGTTTCTGACTAAGAAATCTTATGCCACGAAATTATACACAATTTTAAATACATTCAATATGAAAGTGGCTCATTCTATTTTTTAAAATTAATTATTTTACTTTATCATGAAAAAAAATTTAATTCAAAATTATAATTTAGGGGTTGTTTAGGCCAAATTTACTACCGTTAAGCGGTACCTTCACAAATTCAACTTTAGGAAAAACGGTAGTTTCACTAAATACTTTTAATAAAGCAAGTTCTCATGCAAACCCTGTACTCGTCGCAATCTAGGGAAAAGAGGAGCTTTTTTGCCAGGTGTCTTTTACGAAAAGGTAGCACATGTTTGGTCAGATATTGCGATATGGTAAACCTAACCGGTCGCTATTCGAACATTATCTTAAACACTATTTTAAATTTATTCTAACAGACCTTTATTTTCACTTTTTTTTTCTCTGTGAAACTTTTTTCTGTATGACCTAGTCGAAAATGTTCTCATAATGATAAAAACTTTTAGTTAAATGCATGAATTTATAAAATTCAAGTTGAAATTTAACTATGGGCAATGATTTTTATGGAATTCTGAAATTGGATGCAATTTTAAGCCTACAGTTTTACAATAGCAAAATCATCTTTATAGGGAAAAATATAAAGAAATTTACCTCTCATAAATGATTTTTATTTAAAGTGACAATTTTGGAAAATATTTTCTTACTTTACAACATTTTTGTGTCGAGTTTTTAATATAATTTTTAATTTTTACAAATTGCATCTAAATTTTCACAAAATATGTACCTCTCAAAAAAAAAAAAAAAAAAAAAAAAAAAAAAAAAAACAGACAGACTCCTGACTATTCAATTTGTGTGAAGTTCTCATTGATTTCAAAATTTTTATTATATGTTCAGTACTATTCTGTTCTTGGAAGCTGTAAAAAAATAGCCAAATTATTATTGATGCTGGTAAGGGGTTTGCTTAATTAATTGTTGTAAGAAGTATATAACATACTAATATAGGTTCTGTAATGTTATGTTTAATGGTGAAAACCCATCAAGTAAATTTTTTCAGATATGAAGTTTTCCATTCAGAATGTTCTATTTTTTCAAATATTTTAAAGTTAACATCAGTGGTGTTTGCTAGCTTATAGCTCTCTTTCATGTAAAAAAGGAGTTTTTTGCTTTCTTTAATATTCTTTATTGTATTAATATTCTTTAGTTTCTTTAATATTTAATAATGTTTCATTGTTATATCAGGTAAACTAAATGATGATTTTGAATGTTGTAGCAAGGGCAGACTATGTAACCACAATACTGAAATAATTCATTTGAAACTACATGTTTATTTTGTACACAGTTATTCTTTTAAAATGTGTTTCTATAAAACTAAATATCTTAGAATCGAAATAAATTGAATTTTAAAAAATAAGTTATGTAAGAAAAGTAAAATTAATGGATGAAATGGTATTAATTCGTTAAGAGGAACATAAAAATTGCGACTATTATTGACACCAATAATGTTTCGTAATAGTAAGTAGCCAGACAACCGCAACAAGATGTCTATGTATTTGTACTAATTAGCTATGTATAAGTACTAAAAAGTAAAATTAATGGAGAAAAGGTACTACTTATTAATTTTGGTTAGGTACTAATTTAATTTTTTAAAAAAATTTATGTACATAAAAGCTATGTCAAGTAATTATGTTATGTCAAGTTAATGAAGAAATGGTACTAATTTCTTCGGAGAAACGTAAAAAATCGCCATAATATTATTGTTGCCAATGGTGCCTAATACGAGATAGTCTTAATATGTAGCAATCTTAATATCTAGATACAAAGTATTATAATAGTATGTTTGATACCTACTAAAACTGCATCAATACTGTACAGCTTTATTATTAAAAAAATGCATTTTATGCCCCCAGAATTCCTAAAAGCATACTGTAAAAAAATTTATAGAAATAGGTAAATTTTGACTACCATGAGTTGGCCTCGAGCAACAGCCATGTGTAAAATATTGAATCAGTTACTAATCTTCATTTCGATGTGATGACCTTCTAAAAACAGAATTTCGTTTTTTCTGGTAATGTAAAATCACATGAAGGGAAGCAAATAATAATAACCAAGCTTTATTAACTGTGTTGTATATAAATTTCAAATTTATGTATAATTTTTTAAAGTACCGATTTATTGTTTGTTTTTTCCCCTCCATTATGGAGAATGGGTATTCAACTATTATGATATAAAATGTTATTTTAAGTGTTCAAAAATTTAATTTTAAGAACATTATGCTGCTCTGAATATAAAGACTATTTGCTCCAATCTGCTCCGAAAACAAAAATTTTATTTGCTCCAAAATGATTATGGTGCTGTTCTATCCGTATATATATGATAGTATATAATATTCTTATATATAATTAGAATGACTACTGTAACTTGTAAAATATTTAACGAATCTACTTCGTTATGTAACAAGTATGCATAATTATTGTATAAATATATTGACTAGACTTAAATGATGTTGAAAATTGGTTATGAATAGACATTGTTGTTTATTTTTGTTACATTTTTATATACCTTTTCTGTTAAAATGATTTTAAATTTTTTAAGATGATAATGAATTGTATATATGGTTGAAAAATTATATTAGCTTTTTTAGAGTAACATACAAAAGCGTTTTTGTATTAAACATGTTTTTTTTATTAATTTTGAAGATTGTTTGTGTGTGATAAATTGAGATTATTTTTATAATGTATTTTTATAGATACTATATTTATCATGAACATTGTTGATTGTGTCATGATGATGAATTGTTTATCTATGCATATATTGTTTATCAAATTTAAAGTGCTTTAATTTTTAAGAATTATGTATATCGATATCTATAATTAAGTTAAAAATATAGAAAAAACAAGGAAAATAATGTAATAAAGATTAATGAAAAGAGAAGAAAAATTATTAGAATCAAGTATTTTTTTTTTAAAAAAAAAGAAACTAAACTAAACATTATATATACACAGTGATTCTAATTTCGCTTGTCGAACTAATACCAACCGACAAATAACGGAATTTTAAAAATCAATGGCAATAATTTTTTTAAAAATTAAACGACGTAAAGGTAACTAATCACATGCCCGATGTGAATTTTGTGGGTAATAAAATTGTATTTATTAAAAAAATACCGAATTTTTTTTTTAATGTTAAAATTTGTAGCAATAGCTGTCAAAAAAAAAATAACATTTGAACTGCTGTGTGGATAACTATAATATCTGCTTAGAACTGAGCGTGTCAAAGAGTAATTTCTTGAATATGCAATTCGAATTTCGCATGCTGTAATAGTATCGGTAGTTTTAAAAAGAATCACTTGACTTTCAATAGTAATAACTGAGCAATGAAAGAAATCAGTGGGATTTTAAAAAACTAAATGAAAATTCGTATCAATAATTGCAGGAAAAAAAAATTATCAAAACACTACATAAATTTACGATGGAATCAGCGCGATATGTGAGCGATAAAGTAGACTAAATGTATGGTTTAAATTTTCATGCGTGCAATATTATTTTTCAAATATTGAATTGATTTTATTTCCACCAAATTAAAGAGAAGTGTGGCAAATTTACCGCACTGATTAATCAATTTTTTTGCTATAAATTTGAATTTGTAACAAAATATGATGTTCTTTAAATAATGAAGGGGGAAAAAATACCATTATCTAGTACGAACTATCTTTTAAACTTCTAAGATTTTGGATTTTTTATTTTATCAATTTGAAATTCTAGCTGAAGCTAGTCATGTTTAAATTAAATAATATTTACAAATTAACTCATTAATTTCTAGACGTAATATTTCAGTCATTGTGAAATTTTTTTTATTCTCAAATGAGATTAGAAAAATCACAAGCATTTTTTTCCCATCCGATGTGCAAAAAAGGTATCTTCTGTACGGAAAAAGATCTTTCAAAATATTCTGCAGAAAAGAAAGTTTTTTTTACTTCCCAAATGAAAAATCTTTCTGCTGGAAAGGGTCTTAATAAAGTTTAAATATGCTTAAAATTTCTGTTTTTGAATATTATGTTTAAATTACTTATATAAAAATTGTCCAAAATAAATATTTTTATTTCAATATATCTAATACTAACAATATGAATTATATGCATATATGTCGAGTTTGAATTACCAACATGTGTTTTCTGTTGCTTTATATATTCACAAGGCAAATCTTAATTTACTAATTTGATTTTATTGAAATATTGTGTTTTAATCAAAATTTGTGTAATGCCTAGTCATAATTCTGTTCTGTAAATATATAGTGCTGTTAAAAATTGTTTAAAAAAAATATAGTTTTTTTTTTAACCTTATGTTTTGTTAAGTTGTTTCGTTAACGAATAACTTTGTAATGCTTTTAAATTTGATTTTGCTGTAAAGCTGCAAATTTCAAAATTTTTATTTTGGTTATTAATTGTTTTTTTTTTCTGAAAAAGGTGTTTTTGTTGTTAAATTGTTAATTATTTATAAATAAATACATTATTTGTTATGATTTTGAATTTTATTTTTTCTTTAGCTTACAACATGAAGCGTAATTTTAACAACTCGGCTTGGAGATAAGATTCTGAAGAGATAAGATTGTTTTTCTGGGAATAATTTTTGAAGTTCTTTTTTTTATTTTAAAGTAATTATTATGTTTAAATTAAATAATATTTGTAAATTAACTCATTAATTTGAAGAAGTAATATTTTGTATAATGTGTGCTTCTTGGTAAGGTTTTAACTCTGAGACTTGCCCTGCCCGATCCTCCTTATGTATACAACTAAGCAGTTCATGATGTCTTCAAACCTCTAAGAGTAAGCAAATGTTTTCTTATTTGATACAGGGATAACATTGAAGTATGTCCGGGTACATAATCTAGTGCAAAAGTTCAATTGGAGTTTTCTCTACTCTTAAATTAGGCCAAAAGCTTTATGAACAAAATACATCTGGTAACAGTCTATGAACAGTGGTAAAATCGTTACTATCTCTTTTGTTAAAGGGAGCACTTAGTTACCTTTCTAAAAAAGAGTTGCAGTGATGAATCAGTTAAGGTAAGTTTGGTTTTCATAATCCTGAGGTGCTTAGTGACATGATTTCTTGTATCCCTTTTTTTATAATTACCAAAAACAGTTTTTTTTCCTGACTTATAATTTTAAGTGGAATAGAATTAATTGTACTGTTAAACCTTGATCCATCGTCCATCCATAATTTTTCTATATGTGTTGTATTGTTTTCTCAAACGCTATTCTTATAATGCCAATAACATCCCCCCTCCCCCGTGTTTATCATTCGAAGATTCTACCAACATTTAACAAAAATATTGCAGTTCATTCGTTGTGAGAAGAAAAGCCATAATTCCTGGTGATAATGACGAAGAAAATGAGGAGTTGTTACAGTTTGGAGAAAACTCATCAAATATCTAAATATCAAGTAATAAATATTTTAAATCTTGTGGTGTTGTGGGTTGAAGAAGCAGAAGTGCTTAGTGATATACTGAACAAGCCGGCAAACATTTGAGAGAAACATTAAACTATGAGGGAACTTTTTGCATTCACTATACGAATTGACAGAAAATGAACGGCAATCTTTTACAAATGTTGAAAATATATTGTTTGTTATGAAAAAAAGAGTGTTCAAACTGAAATTTTCAAATATTTAAATAAATATTATTATTCATCCTATTATATCATCAAGTTTTTTCCAGTTAAATTTTTTAGTTTATTACTTTACACATTTCATACATTTTCAAGTCATTATTTGATCTTAATTTTAACATGAACCGTGTTCGTTGTTTTACCATATCTCTAGTTCATAATGAAAGGTCCCTTGAGAAATGATTGATTTAGGTTCTACTGTTAAAAAATATTTTTACATTTATAAATAATTATTATGTTATATAATAATTAATATAATAATATTATAAAATAATTAATGTAATAATAATTATTATTATAAATAATTTTACATTTATATACTTGACTATTTATTTTGCCACTATCAATGAAGATACATGAATATAATTTGTGAAAAATTTCCAGTTTTTAATAGATGTATGTCAAACAACTTCTAAATTAATTATGTTGATGGAAGCTATTTTAATATGAGAATACACGAAATAATTCATTTTATGGTTTAATTGATCTGTCACGTTTAACCCTCTTATTTTTATTTACCCTTCTCCTGCATTTAAAAAAAATAATAAAATATATAAAGAAAGTAGCTTAGAAAGGAAATTTCAGTAGTTTTGAGCAGGTGTTCAGTGCTGAAGTAATTTGCTCAAAAGCCAAGTGACCATTTCATGGCTAAATCATGGTTTTAGGCTTTCACTTAAGATATTGTAATCTAAGATTTTCTAGTAAACTTTAAAACTGTGAATCTTGAACAGAGTCCAAGATAGGACCTAACTGCTAACTAAGCAATTGTTCCCCCCCCCTTCCCAACAGCTTTTGTACATAATTTGCCATCTCATTCTTTTTTCTATAGAACATAATCTAAAGTTATGATTATTGTCGTAGGATCTCAAATTTCTTCCTTAAAAAATTTTTAAATATACAATTTCAACAACTGTACAGTTATCAAGTAAAACCCACTTGCATTACTTATAAATAATGAAATAAGCTTAAAAAAATTCGTTATTTTACTCAATGCATCAGTAATGTAATATACCATAATTACTTATAAAAAAGGCTCCCAATTTTGTAACTCTTTGTCAAATAGGCTTTCTGCATTTTTGTATCAGCAAGCATGACTGTTACAGCAGTTATACAAATCTTCAAACTAGGAAATAAATATGTGTAAATTTTTAGAATAAAAATTATTTAAATATTTACAAAAAAAAAATTTCAAAATTTGACGCGCAAAGTTTGAAAGGTAGAAATTATTTGGGTTTATTACAAATATAGTTCTTGAAATAAAACTTAAATAATTGTATTACTTTCTCAGAAAATTTAAGGATTTGCTATGTTTAAAAGAAATATTAGTATGGAGTGGGTTAGGTTAAGGTGACTAAACGCTCTCAAATCTTGATGACAATCTAGAATTTCTCAAAAACAAACTTTTTGGGACAATAAATGTCCCCAAATTTGTACATGTGTGCTAAAATGTCCTCGATAATTTACATATATATAATAGACTCTTTTTTTTTTTTTTTTAAATTCAGTGGAGTTGCTTTACTTCGCCAATCAAACTCCCGTTCACATCCAGTAATTCGCACATCCTAAATTTTCACCTGCGGTGTAAATGCTCCTATAATCTTTTTTTTTATTATATAATGCAATGAAATATTAAAGAAGAAATCAGACATCTTTGACTTTTTCTTTTAGTTTCATAAAAAAGATAATTTTGTCGTAGAGAGATTCATCAATTTTTAAAAAAAATTGTTGCAGACATAAACAAATTATTCCATTAATATATGGGTGTTCTAAAATCGTAAAATATTTCGAGGACGCACCGCTGTAAAAACCGAAACCAAAAATTAAGCAGATCAACGCGTTTAAAAGTAAAGTTGAGTTGTTTATAATTTCTTTCATGCCTGTTCAACAAATCTTAAATGTAACAAAAATTCGCAGCCAAAAGCGCTTCAAAGTAGATTATTTTGAAAATAAATAAAAAAAACTTATACATCAGTGATTCTGCTCTTCCTTATCTTATCTGTTTCAAAGAAGGAAAAACGTTTTTCTTTTGATAAATACCAAAGCGTCAAAAAATTAGTATTTCAAAAGTTTACAAACCTTGAGCTCATCAGGAATAACCTGTGATAAAAGATTTACAGCTCAATAACTGTGATTAAAAAAACAACTTTAGACATACTTATTTTATTACATAATTCTCTTAGTAAAAGTTCATAATTGAATCCCAGGTTGAATGAAGGAAAATTATTTTCTACTTTTTGACTCAGTAAATAATAATTTTTTTGCTGTATATTCTATTTTATTGTATCTATTATAGTCTGTGCTCAGGAGTGCTGTACTTAAACATTTATTATGGCTGTGATTAAGCTACCTCTGGGCAAACCTCTACGTGTTTTTTTTTATTTTGTCAGTTTGCCTAATTAAGTGTATTTGGCGATTGTATTTGACGTGACCGATCAAGATATGAATATATCTCCCCCCCCCCTCGAAAGATTTGTTTTACTGGCTAAAATTCAAATAATAAAATAAGTTCTTGTTTTACCCAAGAGTGACTTCCAGTTGATCACCTTCTTAGATGTTTTTCATTAGTTTTTTTTTTTTTTTTTTTTTNTTTTTTTTTTTTTTTTTTTTTTTTTTTTTTTTTTTTTTTTTTTTTTGATTGCCATTGCTACCTTTGTATAGGGAAATCAGAGTAGGAATATTTCTGTATCCTGTTCTGTTGCGCCAACTAAAATCGCCAAGGTGCCAAATAGATTTTAAACTTGCAATTTTCTTTAAAAAAATGTAGATTTTTGCCCGGGGGATCTACGAGTTATACCTTTCGTGCTCGTCCCTTTCTGTGATGTTTTTGTAGTGTCTCACAGGCCACTGCCCAGAATTTGCCAAGAGTTGGTGACTATTTTGCCACAGATCATGATCCGGAAATCTCACCATCTTAGTGATGATAATTTAAAATATTTTATCTTATAATGAGCGTTGCCGACCTAATTCTGAGCTTGCGACTATCAATGTTCAACTCTGTAGCCTTGCAATTTTGAGCCCTATCTAGAAGACAAGGGAACTCCTGGATCATGACATTATTATTTTCTATGCTCTTATTGACATTTTATTCTCCAAAAACGTTGGTCTAATATTAAAGTAACATAACATTCTTTAGCTATATTAGTCCTTTTTGGAGTTATTCTGTAACAAAATTGGAATTTAGTAAAATCTGCATACTTGATTATTCAAATTGTAATTATACTTTTTATAATTATACCTAGTAATATTCTGAAAGGCAGCTCATGGTATTGTCGAAGATATGATGGAAGCTCAGTTGATTTCATTTAACAAATGTGAAAATGAAAACTTTCTTTTATTTGTTTAATTGCTGGGTAAAAAAAAAACTTTACGTAAAAAACATTGCATAATTTTAGTTCTATAGTGCTAAACTAATGTATGTTATACTTTTTGTGTTCAACTCCAATAATCAATCATATGCTTAGATTAAATTGGTTGGTACATTTGAACAGGATCTTGAAATTTGACAAAATTGGTTTTGAACTTTGTAAGCATTAACTTATGTATACATATATACAGACACACATATATATATATCAGTGTTCTCCCTTTTTAGAAGAACGGCCCATCCTGCTTGCACCCTCTTTGCTTTTTTTGAAAAAATAAACCGTCATCCCTTAAAAGAACTGCCTTTTTATTCATATTCCATTTTAAAAAAGATTAATTCTCTGTTTAAATAATGATTACACCCAGGTATATTCTCAATTGGTTAAATGTTTGCAAGTATTTATTTTTTTCGGGGGAGGATATTAACAAATTGTTTAAGTGATTTTAAAATTATTTTTTAAATAAAAACTTTTTTATTGAAAAAATGCACTTTTAAATGTTGATTTTCTCATGATTTTTACTTTTAATTATAGAAAGAAGCTTTAAAGTTGTTTATCAATTAATCTTTTTTTTTGTTTACTTTTTTTGAAAGAAAAAAATAATGCATAGATATTGTCTTTTAACATGATTGATTCAATTATTTTATTTGCAATTCTTTTATACTTATTAATTTTATGCTAAGAGCATTTATCTGATGCAATACAATTTGAACACTAGCATTCAAACAAATGCTATACAACTTAATTTTTTTTTATATCTCTACTCTTTAGATCTGAATCATCATAGAAAGACTATCAAAGTGAAGTATTGGAAAGAACATGGCTTCAAAAGAAGGTGACCTTATAACTTTCGTAAAAGATTTCTTTGCTGGAGGCACATCTGCTGTTATTTCCAAAACAGTTGCAGCACCTATCGAGCGAGTGAAATTAATTCTCCAAGTCCAGTATGCATCCCAACAAATTACTTCAAGTAATCGTTACAAAGGTATAACATTGTTAAACAGAAAAGATCAATAATTATTCAGAAAGAAATAAGTGAAGCAATGCATGGAAAAACTTCGAGTTAATTAAAATTTAAGAGTAAATTAAAATTTGTGTTAATGCAATTTGTAAGAAACTTGATGACTGTATTACTTATTTTAGGTGTTTTCTATGTCACAGTTCGTGAGAAAAAAGATGTAGAACAGAAAAAAAAGAGCTTTTTTAAGAGCAACATAACTTAGTCATGTTGTTTAAAGTTGATCTCAGTCATACTCAGGGCCGGATTAACCTATAGGCACACTAGGCACGTGCCTAGGGGCTACAAAATTCAGGGGCCTACGAAAAACTTGGGAGAAAAAAATTTGTTGACAAAAATAATTTAGCTTTAAAAACAACAAGTGTATTTTGCACAAAATTATGAAGATACGAATAAAAATATAATATTTTTCGGTAATAAATTATTTTGCAGAATCTTATGATCTAATATATTACTTTTTTGGATTCAACGAAATCTTGTATTATGCTGTCGAATTCCAAACTACGCAAAATGTCGTATTCAATAGACATAAATGCGAGCGATGTCAAACGATCTTGATTCATTGTTGAACGCAAATTATTTTTTAACAATTTTAATCTGGAGAAAGATCTTTCTCCTTCTGCATTTGATCCAAGAATCGACAAATATATTCTTAATGCAATGTAAACATTAGGAAAAGTATTCTCAAGTTTATCTTTAATTTGAGCCTTCAACATTTCTTGTGCAGATTTATGTTCATACAAATTTGAAAATAGTAAAAATTCATCTACAAAGTTTTCCTCTAAATCGAATAAGTAAATTTTCACCAAATTTTCCGCTTTTAGTTTAATCTCAGATTCTGACAAATTTTTGTGAACAAGAAAACCGAAATTATCGTACAAATTACTGTAAGCTTTACGCCTTTTAGTCATTTCTGAAATTAATACATCTAAAATGGCGTAATACGTTCCGGACAAAAACATTTGTCTTGGATTCTTGGTCACCAAACAATGAATGCAAATCCAATTGTTGACTATAATTTATGATCCTGAAAAATTTATATAAAAAAAACATTGGTCAATTGAAAATGACTAATTTGAAAAAACGTGACTGACATTTTATTAAAATAGTATTAAATCATTTTTTTTTTCTATTAGTAAACATTTAACCTACCTTGCAAATTTATTTAAAAATAATTTCAAAAGATTTACTTTTGACAATGTTAATTTCCTTCACTTAGTTATCATAGTAGTATCATAAAAACTATGAAGCTATTTGTAGTATAAATATTTCTTGTAATTAATCTCACTATCAATTTCGCTGTTTTCTTTGCTGGTTTGTTGTTGTATTGTTGATGTGAAGTGTTTACATAGTTATCGATCGAACTAATCATAATGGTATTATCGATATCAACGGCAATATCAGAAGTATCTTGGTATTGCAGATAAAGTTCGATAAACAAATTTTTAAATTAAAATCCATATTAATAAAAATGTAAAAAAAAATATGCAAGAAAATTTTAGCATATATTTTGAAAAGAGGGAAGGGCCCAAAAACCGCCATGCCTAGGGCCTACGAAAGGTATAATCCGGCTCTGGCCATGCTTCATCATTGTACTCTTTTAATTAAATCTGGATGGTCAGAGTATTTTGTCAATCTGGTAAAGTCATGGAAACGTCAGGAAACTTAGCTAAATGTGTAAGGTTCAAAAAGTCTGATATTTATTTATTTTTCGAAAAAATTGGTAAAAATTTTTTTAAAAATTTATTTTCAACCCTTATTGCACATGTAAGTGTTTTGTAATGTATTATATGTTTAGGAATAAGGCATAACTTAAAAGTAATAAGAAAATTTATGGCACAGGCTGTAAAACTTGGAGAAATTTGCCGAAATCAGTAGTCAATCAATTTTTGTTTCGCGTTTGTGGCCATCCTGAGAATAGACAAAACTCTAATAGACTGAAACATTGCATTTAAAATATTTCTTTTTTCTCATATTTATTTTTAGTTATTACTTTTATATACATTTTCAATTCCTTTTAATTTCTTTTCTGCTTAGGTATGATTGACGCTTTTGTTAGGATACCTAGAGAACAAGGTTTTCTTAGTTTTTGGAGAGGAAATTTAGTCAACTGTATCAGGTTCTTTCCAACTCAAGCTCTCAACTTTGCCCTTAAAGATAAATATAGGTATATTTTTCTTGAAGGTCTTAATAAAAATACGCAATTTTGGCGATATTTTGCGGGTAATCTTGCTGCTGGTGGTGCAGCTGGAGCTACAACTCTGTTTTTTGTTTATCCGTTAGACTTTGCGAGAACGCGCTTGTCTGTTGACATTGGCAAGGCTGTGGCTGATCGTGAATTTAAAGGTTTAAATGATTGCATCAGAAAGATCTTCAAATCTGATGGCATAGTTGGACTTTACAGAGGTTTTAATGTGTCCATTCAATTTGTTATTATTTACAGAGCTGCTTATTTTGGATTATTTGATACGGCCAAAGAGATATTGCCAAAAAAGGGAAAATCATCCATTTTGATTTCGTTTACCATAGCTATGATTGTGTCCACTATTGCTGGTATAATTTGTTACCCTTTTGATACAGTAAGAAGACGTATGATGATGCAAAGTGGTCGCAATAAAGCTGATTTTATGTATACCAGTACAATGGACTGTTGGAATAAGATAGTTAGGCAAGAAGGCGTTGCTGGTCTTTTTAAAGGTGCTTACTCAAATGTTGTTAGTGGGTTTGGTGCTGCTTTAGTACTTGTTTTGTATGATGAAATAAGGAAAAAACAACCTATGCATTCATAATTTCTAAAAGAGTTTTAATTTAGTTTAGACAACTTTCCTTTATTTTATATGGTAAAAAAAATTTTTTTTTATAACTGTATAACTTGAACCAATTTTTATATCAATTGAAATAATGAAGCTTACATAAATTTTATCCTTGTTAGAGGCCATTTAAATATTACATAAAAACTTAAGACAAGGAAGAGAGACAAATGCAAATTTTAAAATTATTGATTTTAGGGATTGAAAGATATGAGATGGCTCAGGGAATAGAGCGTCCGTCTTCCAATGAGGTGAACTGGGTTTGAATCCCAGTGACAGCTGGTCGACACGAATCCTGCATCCTGTTTGCCCCAACCACAGTGCCGACATAAAATGTCCTCAGTAGAAGAGGGATCATGGGTTACAGTCCCCTTGCCGTCGGGCTAACCGTGGGGGGTTTTTGTGATTTTCCTCCCCATGTAATGCTAATGTGGGTTAGTTCCATCGAAAAGTTCTACACAAAGGCAAATTTCTTGCAATACTTGATCCAGAAGTTCCCTAGTCTTCTGGATTGGGTTCAAAATTACATGGCTGCACAGTTAAACATTAGTCTTAAACCTAAAAAATTGGGTCGGCTATTGAATGACAGTTATTAAATAAAATAATTTGTTCATATTATTTTAAAAATTTTCGTTCCCAATCAACAATGCAGTAATCATATCATTGGTACTGTTTACCATCATCATATCTTTTAAATGTTCTGTTGAGGAATCATGCCAGTAAATTACATTTGTATAAAAATATTAAGCAGCACATTTACTGTGTCTTGATCTCAAGATTATTGAAATCCTAGTTTCAAATTGTTTCATTAAGAAAATCTTGAGTTTTATTACGAATTTTAATTGAATGTTGAAATGAGGAAATAGTTACTAATTAATACTGCATGTTTTTTTAACGTAACAGTAATAAAAAAAAATCTGCTATTGATTTTAATGTATTATAAATTGTTCAGTACTCTATTACTAAAATCATACTGAAAACAAAACTTTCTTTTTGAAACAAAGTAACTCTGAAATTATTAATTGTACATTTTATTTTTATTTTGTAATGAAATTTCCTAATAGTTAGGTAGAGCTAATTAATATTTCTTTTAATTTGTCAATTGCTCTTTTTTAAAAGTAGTCTGGTTTATGTCTACTGCTTAAAAAATATCTTGATTTTAGAAAAAAAATTCTTGAGTTTTTTTCTTTGACCCTCTATGAAACCTGGCTGTACATAGTTTAATCTAATGACTGAAAATACATTTTACGAAAAGTATTGAAGTAAAGTATTTTTCATTCTTATTAAATTAAAAATATTCTACTTCATTATTTTTCTGCATGTTTTTTTTTATATTACTGATATTAGAAAATATTTTTATATTAGAGTTTTTAAACTCACATTTTTATATTAAACTATATTTTGAAATAACTTAGCCTATTTGTAAGAAATATATGGTATTTTTTTTATTGTACTTTACAAATCTAGCTTATTTTTATACCATGTTTTTATAGATTATTATAAAATCTGAATTTTATAATCCTTGTACTGAGATGAAAAAAAATTGACATATTTATGCATATATCTGCGCATAAAATGTTAAGTCAGTAATTTAATTAGGTACAATACAATTTTTAAACTTTAAAAAAAGGTCCCTTAAACAGGAGGGTTTTTTAAAAAAACTTTTATGTGTAATATTTTTATTGCATTAATATCTATTTTTTATGAAAGTTATAATTATATTTATTACTGTTAAAAACTAACTGTTGTGCCTATTTCATATATTTATAAATACTCTTGCAAGTTCCTATATTATTCTGCAACATTATTGCTATAACTGTATCAACTAAGACTTTCTTGTAAAAGTATCAAGTATAAATGCAATTAATTTATATTATTTCCTAGTCCAACTTATATTTTAGTGCACATAATAAAATTGTTATACTCTGAATAACTTTTGATCTGATTATCAGATTTTTATGTACCAAGTTGTCTCTTCACAGTTTGAAGAACACACATGGACTATGCTAATTATTAATTGCTGGCAATAATTTTAATTTCAAAGTTAGATACAAAAACTCATTATCTCTAAATAAACTTACATTTTCAAATTTTCATTTGGTCCCTGTAAGTTATTCAAAAGACCAATTAAAAGTTTTAGCTCATAGTTTAGATTAAAGTGTTATTTTTAATTTTGTGTATCTCACTCGAATTCAATAAATTTTTTAAACTTTTATAGAACTTATTTAACTAAAAATACAAAACAAAAATAACTCTTTTATTATAAAATCAAAAAATTCATTTGAAGAATTAGTTAAAATTGTAAAGTATAAACCTTTTAACATCCTTTTAAGCATTGTAATTTTTTATGAGGAAATTTAACATTTAATCAAGCATATTAGGTTAGCACTCTTAATCTAACACATGATAAACACCTTTATTATTATTAATAACCAAAGAAGTTTGAAATTTCAAGGTATAAAATGTTTAGCATTCTCTTGAACAAATTACATCCCTTAAAAAGTGTAAAAGTTTTATATCTTACAAATCAAGATTTTTTTATATAATTATTAAAAGTAAAAAATTATGATATCCATAAATAATTCCAAAGATGTAATAAAGTATGCAAAAAATAAAATCAACACTTTCCCCTTCCTTCTCACTTGCATCAAAATAATAGTATGAAGCTTCTTTCCTATATCTCATGCCCGTGATATTTCTGGGCTGACAATCTATTTCTAATGCCTGAAATCATGTTTTTTTCTAAATCTATATACTAGATGGCGGTACCAAACTATTTGTAATGTGTTTAAAGATAGTTTATTTTAAACTAGATGTCAGCACTCATCAAACATGTGAGCTAACAATTAACCCAAAAATTAAAAATGAATACATATATTGGATATATAGTTATTTTTATATAATTATCTGAAATAAAAAATGGGCATTTTTATAATGACTTTCTTAATAATCATGTTACTATTATTTTGAAGGATTAAGGTGTTAAAAACTTACTTGACTAAAATATTCTCACCTTATTTTACAAATTGTAGCTGTCCCCGGTAACCTCAAAAGTAAAATCCACCAAAACATGGTATGCTTAAATGGTTATTATAAAATTGTGCCAATTTTATGATAACCACTTAATAATTAGAATTAAAAATTGCAATAACTAATTAAGTAACCTCTACAAATATTGAAGATTGCATATTAATACGTACTAATCCAGTTATTCGGTCAAAGGTTATTCAATGTGGTATTTTTTATTGTGTGCTGTTTTTATCAAAAACGAAACTACTAATCAATATTTTCATTCTTCACATCTGTACATATATTGCTGTTGAGACATGTTTTAAAATGTTTTATTTTGAATCTTAATGTTCAAATATTCTCAAATTTTTATCTTCTATGGCACTATGAACAAATTATTTCCTTTGAGAATTGTTTTAACTTTATTTTTATGAGTGGTTTTAATTCTATTCAATGCTAAGCTTATATTCTATTTCCATGCTTTTCTAAGAAGAAAAGTGAACATATTTTATTATCATATGTTGTTGAAAACTTAACAGAATTTATTTTTTTCAGAATTTACAGTCGTTACAGAATTTATTTTTTAATATTTGTATTGTTTTTTTTATTGTTAATAAATTGTTTTTTCTGAAGTGTTTTTCGTTATTTCATTGGTAAATCTTAAGTTCCCTTTGGATATTGGTCTATGATTCTCATGTAGTAGTGTGGAAAGGGGTTCAAGTAAAAATAAACGAGAATAACCTATACTTATGCTGTGTACCTATTTTTCTAAGCTACAAGGATGAGTTATACCTAGGGCTGCAAGTTTGTCGCGGGAAAAAAGACCCCAAATTCGCTGAAAAATCGGGGGAAATTTTGAAAATTACACAAATTCTAAACATTAAAAAAAAATTTATATAAATGATGCAAAAGACAGAAATTGCGCAAATAATAAAAAAAGCTTAAAAATACACAACAAAAGTATTTCTTTGAATTTCAAGCAATATTAATATTTTTATTTAAATGAACAGAATTTTGGTACAAAGTATTGTACATTGTCAGATTATTCTCATTTATCCTTCGTATTTCATCACTTAATACATTTTTATACTTAGAAAACGATCTTTCTGCGTCAATGCTGTTTTAGAATTGCCAATTTTGGAGCGTTCGGTCTTTGATTTCCAAAACTCGATCAATTTTCCTTCACCAACGCGCAATTCCTTAACCGTTGCTTTGTAAGAAGTAATTGCTGTGAAAACTCAAACATTCTACATTCAAACTACTAGTTGCAAGTCCCTACCAGCTACTAGTCCCCCTCCCCTTCATCTAAGAAACTGATCCATATTTAAGAAATCACAAGAAGCCGCCTAGGAAAAATTAACTGGATATGTAGAAAGGCAGTAGAAATTTCATTGCCCAGTGCAATAGCAAGTATAACAATTTTTCTGTCAAAGATTTGATTTATAACATTTTCCTTCTTTTGTGATTCCAATTTCTTTTGTATTCTTACTGACTTCAGGAAGGTAACTACCCTCCCTAAGTGTAGAAAGACCACCTTAGTTGACAAGATTGTGATTATCTCTGAACTATTTTCATGTCATTTTGTGATTGATTCACTCCCCTAAATATCTAATCAATTTTACATGTTCATTTTAAGGTTCAGGAAAATAAAAAATTCTGTTTAATAAAAATGAAAAAGAAATCAAATTTTAAGCAATTTTCGCGCAAGTCAAGACATATTGAGAAATTCGCGGATTTTAGGAAAAAAGATGACAATTTTGCGGAAATTCGCGCCGCAACAAACCTGCAGCCCTAGTTATACCTCTTCCAGTTATTTTCAATGTTCTTTTCTTGATCTCATATTATATTAAATTATTGTTACATAAATTCTAATTTAATATTGAAATATTATATTTGATTTAGTTTTTGAATAAGATACTATTTCATTTTAAAATTCAATGGGATCTAAGTAAGAAATATACAAGTTAAAGGTTGCATGGTTTGTAGTTGTCCCGATATTCCTGATTAAGAAATATTTTCTTCCGATTTTCAGCTTTTTTCCTGATTTTTTGTGTGTCTTTAAATGTTATGGTTTAAAGTT